ATAGTCGGTCCCGCCATTAAATATTGGACACCCGTTTGCTTAATACAATTATTATTTATAGAAAGGCTTTTCAAAGTAATTCCAACCCTTTTTCAATATCCCTCGCCCTCGAGTTAAAACATGACCAATCACTCTAGGGATGTGACCTTTTCGTGTTACGCGGTCTCTGTCATAAAAAAGAGAGGAAAGAGAAAGAAACAGGGACTTGCTTGACGCAGCCCATTGCAATGAGCACTCAATATATCTACGACCAAAGAAAACTCTAACGGACTTGAGATTTGAACCCGCGAACACTCACTTGTTGGTCGTGATTCTTTGCTATTTCGCTACTCGACATTAGAGGGATAAACGGGCGCACGAGCTTAGGTTGATTTAGAAATATTTCGGTATAATAAAAGTTGGGTCTGTCTCAAGTCCTTCTGGGTTTTGATATGTGGTGTAGGGTATAATTCGCATTAGGTTCGCTTAATACACGTGTTCGTGCATGGACTTACAAATGTAGTTCCTAACCGAAGAAATAAATATAAGAAATTGAAATTGAATCACCTTGCATTCAATTTTTATTGCAGTAGAAATGATATAATTATATATACAATGTACATAATTATTAAAGAAGAACAAGGATTATTCTTAATTGCAAGTTTCGGTGCTTTTCTCCAAAATTCGAAATCTGCTACTAATTAAATTTTCTTGCATGTTACAGTGACAGCAGATTTCTACTTACCACAATCGGACCCATTGTTTAAAGAACAAAAATGCCTGTTATTATAGTTATACTTATCTTTTATTGTTTTTCTAAACCAGAACAACCGTAAACACTAGTGCACTTACAGGTAAAAGTTACTTAAAGTAAAAGCTATGCTGAATGCAAACAATTTTCTCGTTAACTGCAAATATCAGAAAGGAAATTAAAATAAGAGCAATTACTCATGTTTGCAAAACGCGTCCGTTAACTTCGAAATTTTTTATTCAAGTCCTAACATGAAGTCTCTTATTCAAAACGTCTATTTTAATATTAAAAATGCGTCCACTTGAATTTTAAAATGAAACAATACATAATACTAAATTAACCTTAGTGATTGAAATTTTTATTTTATCTTCCTTTAGTAGCTTTGTTTGATTTCACAAAATATGAATCATAATCATTTGCTGATAAATAAAATTTTTATTACATATAACTACGTGTATACGCAAGCAAAAGCGCAAACACATACACTTATATATAGATATATATACAATTAATATACATATAACTGATATATATAGATATATATACATATATATATGTATGTGTACACTTGCATAAACAAAAGCGAACGACTTTCCAATTTTTCAATTATTTTTTGGAATTCTCTTATTTGTTTACTTAATCTGACTTTTTAAAATACACTTTCGAATAGCTAAGCCATAGCTTGATTGCAGTCAAATCGTCCAAGATATTAAGCGTTCAAATCATTACACATGTCGTCCTTACTGTTTTATAACATCTTCTATATTCCATCATTCATTTATATCATTTTGTTTGAGAGAGAAGGAGAGTTGTATTGATTTTATTTGCTTTGCCTGCCTAATGTTTGAGCTTTTGAAATCTAGATTGTATAAGAAAAAAATGGGTGGATAGCTGTTATATAAAAAAAGAACCTTATTTCATTAATTTCAATTAAATTAGCGTTGATTTACACCATTCCACAAGCGTACAAGAAGCAGAAACATCTTTTATAATACAACGTTAACAAAATAATCCATCATTTAAGTAAATTCTTTTCTTTCCACAAATATTTCTTTCACGCGCTATATCACAATAATTGGCGAATTTGAGGAATAGTGCAAATCAGTTCATCTACAAGAAGTCTATCCATCATTCCGCATGTTCATGTGTATAAGAGCGAGAGAGCAACAAAAGTGATCATATGCGAGGTGATGTGTTTCTATTTGTTTTTATGTCGCACTGCCATAATATTCGTAAAAGCGATCAAAATCATGACCACCACTTAATTAGTTTGGAAAAACACACGTAAAACGAAAATTAGTTGCAATTACAAAAAGGGAAAGCAAAGTAACTTAACAGCTGCACGAAATCTAATTTACCAAGTAGTATTTGGTCTACAATCCATAAGGAAAAGTTTTTTCGGTCAGGTATTACAGGTTGACGCGTATACATAAAGTACAAAGTATAGGCTTACCTTCGCAACTTGTGTAGTTGGCACGGAATAGGAGCAAAAAAAAGTGTGCTTACATACGTATGCATATATTTATATAGTGCAAATTTACATTTCACTTGATTAATTATAAACTCCATATAAAGTACATAAAAAATGACGATGTAAAAAAAGCGTTTATGTGCTCAACGATTAACGAAATTGTTTGCTTGCTAAGCACGAGCTATATTGATAGTAGAGATCGAATTTGCGGTACAACTTTATATAGAATGGATAATGGAATAGGCGGCGACTGTCGGTACGCCTTTTAGGTAAATAGAGTACTGGTAACAAATTTACACGCCTTAAAGGAAAGAAAAACAGATATATCGATTTTGTGAAGAGTAAAATAATTGAAAATGTCGCGGAATTATTTGGATTTCAAGCGAAATTTTTTTGTCTACAATCGCTGATAAAATGCTAAAGCGCACTATTTCCATTTACACGTGGTCCATACCAATAGCTACTGTATTAGTTCTAGCATATAATACACCGCTTAATAAATTAGTAGGATAGCATACAAATGTGTTGCTACTAGCTGACGAATCCATATTGTTTTTACATAGCACCAATTTTTAAATCAAATATATGTATGTAACTTTTATGACATTCCGACCATTATTTTTAAAGTTATGCGTCTCTTGTATTTTTTTCGAAAAATCTGAAACGTCAGTAAACTTATTCATATTACTTCCAAGTTTCCCTTTCACTTTAGCAGTCACACACAGAGGCCAAACAAGATCGATTAATTAACCCGTTTCAAAAAGGCCACCAGTAAATTTAGAATCAACGCTTTATGCTATGCAAAAATTCCAAAATGATGCCTGTTATATGCAGTTGATATAAAACTATAGCCATATTGTTAAAAGACGCTTGGAAATTACAAGCAGAGAACCTAAACTATAAGAGCGGTTTCTTTTATTTACAACTGTAAAAGAGCAAGAGAGAAGTTATATTTGACTTTATGTCAAGATTTCTTTGCTTTGGAGAAGAAAACTGCTGCGAAGAATCAGTATTTTTCCATATTTTCGACATAATAATGTGTCTAAGAAAATATCAGGAGAATTTTCATTTTAAAAATATGTGCACGTCAAACACGACCACATTTTTACGTTACTGGAACTGTGATTAATATATGACAGAAGTTTTTTAAAGTTTATTTGGTTGGTTAGTTTGCAAATTACGGTATTGTATTGCTAGCAAGACAAAAATCGAAATCTGTGATTTTTTTATGATTCGTTCCTCTTACCGTATCGCGTTGTCAGTCGTTTAGCGTTAGTCGTTAGCGTTTCGGAGAATCTTATTTTATCTTATTCTACGACTATACAATGGTAATTGAAAGAGTTAATAGTTTAGTTAGCTCAAGACTCGAACACATATTTAAAGTATGTTGTTTTAAAGCATTTGATTTTCGACATTTGCATGTTATCCCCTATATTGAAAAGGCCTATAATACGGTTCTAGGCGAATAAGAAGTGGATATTGTAAGAAAATACAAGAAAAAAGTCATAAGTAGCACATTATCCTTTAATAAACCACGTGGAAAGATTGACTGTTATTCAAAATCGTCCCTATTGAAAGCTTATGGACTCTTCAACCGTGCCTCTTTTAGACGGCTTCCAGATTAAACAGATCAAACAGAATAACCTAAATAAAAGCAAACGAATCCTTATCTATATTTTGATAGTCTATAATAAGAAACCAGTCGGCGAGAATAAATCGAATTATTCCAAGAGAAACCGTAGAACATGCAAAGAGTTCATAGCAAACTTCATAGAAAACTCATAAAGGTGGAATGGACTAATAGGAAGAGTACACTCGAGAAATCTCTATGTTAGTCAATCTATTACTGATTAAGTGAATGATATTATATCTTGGGAGAATGTTTTGAAACTAAAATATACATATGTTCGGCCCCCAGTCACCAAAAAGACTTCTTAAATCACATAGATTTTGGAAGTATTAATTTCCCAACGCTCAGCAACGAAGAATTTTGTGAAAGCGTTAACGACTAAACAGAAGGCTAAGATGAATTTTCAGCATTTACTTGCCTTCTAAAGTGGCAAACACAACACTAAGTTTGTCAGCGATATAAGATCATTTCGGTGCTTGCAGTAGCCTACTTTCCTCCATTAGGTCATGTATATAAGATAATTCTCAATTTCAATGCAGAGAAATAGAAAATTGCAATTGAAGATTGCCACAGCTAAACGCTAATTAAATCATTTGTATACAGGTAAACTAAAAAACTAACGAACGTAGTTGATGCCCCCTTTTTCGTGCTGTCGAAAACTGCACATGACAAACGCATGACACGCTCCAGAGAATTCAATACAGCTAGTATTTGGATCATAGTTAATACAGATATTATCGATGTTAAAACCAAAAAGCGTGTGTACGATTATTGCCAAGTTTATAGCGTTTTATATATTTTTACGAATTTATGTGTTTTCGGGTAGTCTAAAATTCAATATTTATAATAGTTCGAAAGATATTCTAGGTCAAGATCTGATATCAAAACAAGGATATTTCGAACTACGTGATATGCTTTAATTTAGAAATTGAAGACAGCTCAGATATAGCGTACAAACGGTTAAAACATATTCTATTTGGAACTTCCTATGTAAAAAATGTACCATACGCATATTTTAGTTTTTTTGTTCCTACTCTAAAAAATTATATAATACTCTACATGTGTGTTTTTCTTACTGTTGTTTAAATAAGTTTTAGTGGTTTGCAATTTTACAGTGAGGGAAGGGGAGAACATTTTGCATTCTTTTCTTATAAATATTTCGTACTTACCGTTTACTGAATCTTGACGACAATTTTGAAAAGAAGCTCATACGGCCAGGATGTGGTGACTCTCCTGATACGCCACCCGTAGCCGAATAGTCCAAAGCTGGATTGTTGCGGGGTCTAGTTTGGCCTTGATTCAACATAAGCATGTAATAAAAAGAAAAAAAGCACCAAAAGACGTATTATTGATATAAACAGAAATTTTTGTATATTTTGTATATTATTAATTGAGGGGCGGCAATGCATAGCTATTCTCAACTCTTTAAATTTTCTTATAATGAATTACATTTACTTCTATCACAAGCAGATCAAACGTTAATCACTTTCTTATGTCATTTAATTGAAAACACCTACAAAACTATCTATGAATATGTATAACTTTGGCGATTCAATTGACATCAACAAACAATTGACAATTGAATTCAACTGTGCACCAATGTGTTAAACACAAAAAGCCAATATATTGGACGGTGAAGTACAGACAATTTTTACTTTAGAGCATTAAAGCAAAACAATTTTTAAATATAATGAATCGGTATTATGAATATATATATTCGAATATATGAAGGCGTTCTTCGTATAACGCGTTACTTAGCAAACACTATTTCGATACAATACAACATAAACTTGGGAATATCATAACACGCTTCTGACAAAACATGATCTCAAAACGCCGATATATCGAATTTTTCTTCAATTGCTGTTTGCCTTTATTTTTATATTATCGCCAACAAGAGGAGTTTCAAATAACTTTGAGAAGAAAAAAATGCAAGTATAATTTTCAATAAAAATTTATTTCAATAAAAAATTATTTTACGATCGTTTCCTATTTTTTGAATACATTTTTAACCCTTGTATTTCATATTTTTTTGTTTAGAAAAACATTTTTTGATCTAAGTTTTCATGAAAAAATACACATTCATAACGTTTCACCAACTTCATGCAGCTGCTGACTGTCGAACTGATTCACAGAGATCAGTAAAACATTTGGTGGAAAGAGTGATTACATAAAATAAAGTTAGGTATTGGCAACTTGGTTGTAAAAGGGTATATAAGAAGGATATTTGCTGAGAGCAAATTTTATTGACTCAAGAGAGTTAAATTGTAATATTCAAAGCGAACGAAACCACAATCACTACAGGTATAAATTCTTGAAAATAATTTGCAAATAGTTCTAAGAATTGTAAATAAAACCTATACTACTCAAAAATCACAATTCACCAGGGCGAACTTAATCCCAAATGGACTTGAATAGAAACGAAAAATTCACAAAATCCGATGTACGTTGTAATATATGTATATATTTGGAATGAAATTTAAGCTATCAATTCTAAAATTTTACGCATTGAACGTGGGCCCCGATATAACACGGTACATGATGCCTTGAATTAGATTATTTCAAAGGCGGTTTTAATAAAAACATGTTTCGATACAAGCCAATGCACATTGCCTGATTTATATTATACTCAAGTCAAATTATATTCTGGGCTTAAATAAATAAAGAAGTTTCGTGCAACACTGTTTCGATACAGCGTGATACGAATTTACCATTATACACAAGGGAGACCTGTGTGTGCTAACTCGTTTATAAACTTCGTCGTTATATAACATTTGTGTATACATATATAAGAAAACATCGACATAGATATACATATAAATAATGTTTACAACATCCAAACGGAAGCCTCAGAGATCGTATGTAATACATCTCTTCATCAGCGTCAAATTCTAACTCGATCTAGCCATTTTAAAATATCGGTTTCAAATTTAGCAGAAACATTGGAAGTTTTTACACGCAGATTGATATTGAAAATGTGCTAAATCTGCCAAAACATATACCACAGTAAAATGTAAAATAAAAGCACCTCCTCCTTTCCTCCAAGTAAAAATTTGTGTGTTCTTGCTTATTACTCATACTTGTGAAAAATGGAAATTTGAAATTTTCTAAACTTATTTCGTGGGGAATCCTGTCATCCATGTTTAAAAATAGAAAATTTCGGCTACGCCCTAATAGAGTTATAAGCGATCAAATATTTAATTTTTTCATTATACCCTGCGGTACAGGAATTTATTAAGTTAGTACGGATATATGCAACAACCAGAAGAACTTGAGATAAACTCATCTCATACCTAAGTCTGACCGTTCGTCTTTTTTTCTTGTATTTAACCGGCAGGTCGTAAGAGATTTTTTGATGAAATTTGTTAACCGAATGAATCGGCCTAAGGGTGAACCCAAGGTAATATGTTTACATGTATGCTAAGTATATTCTATTATACTATTCATACTCAAAATAAACTGTGCATATTCTAATAATTTATATGTCTTGTATATACTATAAAATAGTAACTATATAGTTATATTATAAAATAATAAATACATATATATAAATATATAATAATTATATGCGAAGAATGTCATCACACGTAAATAACGTATTTTACATTGAAAATTAATATAAAATTGGTAACGAGTGGTGATTAATTTACTACGAGCTGGATAATGAATTCGAGCCAACGAAAGGATAAGTAACAATAGTATTAAGAGACCCAGGCACTTCAAATTGGACTGGAAGGCATCAAAAACAATACAATATTGTAAGTTTGATGTGATCAAAAATATCCCAACACACTTCACAGTAGAAAAATTTTTATCTGGCGATCAATGTTGGAAAGCCCTACGAAAGGAATACAAGATATTACTGAAAAATTGCAAACTGTCGGAACTTCTTTAACAGCAAGGATTTGTTCATTACATGTGCGTCTTTGCTTTGAAGAGGAAAAAAGGTGAAAATGTAGAGCGTTGGAAAAATAAGGTTAGTCGCTAAGCTATGCTCCTAAATATATGGGGCAGAAATATTTTCACCAGTTGTTAAACCTACTCATGAAACCGCGAGAACGCTGCTCGCAATTGCCGTAGAATGTGCCTATGAGATGGATGTCACAAACATATAATCATGTCGTGAATTAATTAAAGGCGGATACATCAGCCAGCCAAATCGCTTGTCGACAGAGTTTCCTCCATAACCGCATTTTAAAATTGTTCAAAAAGCTTTTGGATTAATGTAATCTGGCCTGGTTAAAGGGAACAAAATCTGAAGCAAACGGGAGTTCACCAATCTGAATGTGAACTTTGCGCTGCAAGCAAGCCTACTTATTTATTTACATACTTTAGATTGTCTACGTGCTACACAAAGAACACAGGCTCTCTACAATAATAGTTATATTTATGATTTGCGAAAAAATTATTAATTATGTTAGCCTTGAACCAATTGTCCTCGCTTTATCCAATTGTAGTTCACTTTTCTATTCTATAATAAAATATTACATTTTAACACATTATCATTATCGACTTGTGTTCTGGTCTTTGTGTTGTGGTCTTTTCTTTTTCGTCTGCCGAGTTTTAATTGTTTTTTTCTGATTATCGCGGATATCGTACGTTCTTTTGCTTCCTCTAAATATAATAAAAAAAAATATAAAAAAAACAAAAGAGGAAAATAAAAAATTGAAAACGCGGGAAATCAATCTATCTGGAACCCAAAGAGTTAATAAAAGTAATACCTTCGCTGCTGTCGCAGTGGAAATCGAGCCTAATAACCCTTTAACTCCAACTCCTTCCAAAGACCTGCTCTTCCATCAACCAAAAATTACATTGCGAAACCATTTGCATTACCCGCCAAAGATAATATTGAAAAAATCAAAACTACAGCAAATATTGCAAAAATTAAAGCAACAACAAGTATGTTAAAATCTAATAAACTAAATCCCCCAGAATCACCAGCTATCAACTCTAGTAAACAAATTACAAGTTGTAATGAATCCAATCTTTCATCCCTTAATCAACCTTCAATTTCAAATTATTGACGTGCGCCCACTCCTGACACTTCAAATGTACGCAACCACCTAAGTACAGATTATTCTGCTGGTAAAATTAAATCATTCACGCAAAATTCCTACAGCGACCTTTTCGACGGACACGCTGACATGTCAACTTAACCCACCTACCACTCCGTTTACATGTCACCACAATTCAATAAAGTTTTTAAAATTTCACAATGGAACATTAAGGGACTTATTAATAATTTTGTTGAACTCCGAATACTCATAAGTGATTTTAATCCAACGTTTATATCGCTTCAAGAGACCCATTGTAAAAGCTCTTTTAATCCTGTTCCACCCAAATCGTAAACTGGATACTTCACGTATGCTGATCAAAATTTATATTCCAAATAAGCAGTTGATGTTTTTATAAAGTCAGTAAAATATACCTCACAAACGCATAAATTTATGCTAAAAAATACAAGCCGTAGCGATACAAATAATGTTAAACATAAAATTTACAGTGCTTTCGCTCTACATCCCACCTTCACAATCGTTTTCTCGGTAAGAACTCTACAATTTGTTCTCCGTATTCCCCCCAAAATAATTATATGCGGCGACTTTAATAGTTGGAATACCATCTGGGGCTCAACAGCGAACAATACTCGTGGTACTGTTTTAGAAAAGGCCTTCAGTCAAAGCAATCTCAACTTGTCACACATTTTCACATATTGATTTAACTTGTTGCTCTCCCTCACTTCTTCCTTTGATTTCCTGGTCTATTTCTGATCATAGCGATAATAGCGATCACTTTCCAATCATAATCGTTCTTAAACTTTCAACGTCCACTGTTACTCCAGTAAAACAGGCCAAATTCCTCCTAAATAAAGCGGATAGGATCAACTACTCCAAACAGGTGGAGTCATTTTTGAATTGCAACCATGATGCTGCTATTATGTCTAAAGCGATTCGCACGGCTGCTCATCTATTCCACAATCCAACAGCTTTTTCAAACGAGCTAGGCTTCCTTGCTGGAACAACACCCTTTCGTTATTGAGGAAAAACAAAATGGATCTATGGCTTTAAGAAATTTCTTGATCATGATCATTTGTAATTATACAAAAAGTCCCAAAAGCCACTTAGTTTTGAACTTTTTTCGAAAAGAATTCACAGAAATACATCAATAAAAGTTGTCTGGAACAAAATCAACAGACTCAAAGGGACTTCAAATCTGAACGAAATTTCTGCCATCTGCACTCCCAATGGAACTTTAACTGACGGTATTGACAGATGGGCCATCTTCCTGGAATATTG